ATATCCTTATAGATTTTAAGGCACCTTCTTAGCTATAGATCCCACCTGATCTTTGGATAAATAGTTTCTTAGACAAATTCCCAGATGAGATAATATTAATAAAGCTGATCTCTAAAACTATTTCTTTTCTATTTGAAAAGAAGAAGATATAGAAGAAGTCTCCCCTTCTTCCTTTCAAAGATAAAGAGATATAGTACTCCAGTGAATAATTTGTAAGTGTTAACTTTCTCCTTGATATTAGCTTTAGTGAATGGCTGATAATAAAGATGGATCCTTAAAAGGAAAGGCAAGAACAAAAGTCAAATGTCCCTCACTAAAAAACATTGAAATTTTTAAAATAATAATTATAAAAAAACTATCCACAATTGTTCTTTATTATTCAAATCATTGATTTATAATATTTCCTAACTTTTGTCCCTATTAAAGTGAAGAGTTATGAATTTGTTTCTCAAAAAGGGACATAAGTGATCTGTGAAATTTTATATGCTAAATACTTTAGGAACCCATCATTAGTTGATAATAGAGAAAATTTAGATCTTCATTTGACAGTGCTTTGGTGTTTCTCTTTTATATTTTTAGCACTAGTTTAAAAGTAATTTAGATTAATTTCCCTTATTTTGGAACAGCAAAATGCAATCCGGTAAACTGTTAGGTTTTAGGATGTTTAATAGCATTCTTAATAATTTTAATAATTTCAATATATTTTGAATTTTATTCTATTATCGCTAATAAACATAGCTGAGCTGGCAATTAAAAAAAAAAAAAAAAAACTAATAATGCATGCATAATTATGCGCATATTATGCGACCGCATAAATCTGGGCACTCTACTTGGAACCATTAGTATTTGCAAAAATCTAACCGTAATAGCGTTATTATCGATTCTTACATAAATTTTCCAATTATATACCTACAGCATTAACCAAAATGAGGATCGAAAGAATTCTATTTTAATATGTCGCCTTCAAAAATAGTTGTCCATACTTCTATGCATGTTAATGATGCAATGTCTTCGCTCTTCTGTTGAGTCGATGGTCAGCCAATTAGTAATCAGTATTGTTGATTAATCAATAGTGATCTCTTTATTCAATAGCCGCTCGAAAAAATTCCTTAATAATAGATTAATTTGCTTATATAATTTTATACCGTATCAAATCTTCAACTAATAATGGACAATGCGAGATAAACCAACCAAAAAGAGTTTAACTATTAGTAGGTAAATCCTGTTTAATTGTTTAATCAGTAACTAAACAAACATTGAATATAAAATAAGCACCGTATGACGCCGTACTTTGTTCTCTGATATAGTGATAGATATAAAAAGCAATAATAATAGACGCAGCTAGTGTTGTACGAAAAATCATTGTTGGTTGAACACAAATATACATTTTAATTAGTAAATTATTTTATATATATATATTTTTTTTAATCTGTACATTATTGTAAGTCCACTTAAAGGCAATTAGCAAGGATTAATATAATAATAATAACAATTAATGTGTTTGTTTCACTAAATTTACAAATAAACGTGCTTCTTTGATTACTATAATTAGCTTGGCGGTTCGAAACATCTTTCACCTTGGGTCTTGAAGTCATTACCCCACCACTCAGGGAATGATACCTGCAGAGGTAATTTCCAATTAGAAATGTGAGAGCCTCTAGATAAAGTTTCAAATGACTTACATTAAATAAAACACTGAAAAAGAAGAATATGACCATTGTGACTATTTGTGATGCACTATCAAATGCGGCGGAAAGGACATAATTATACCTATAGGAAAACAGAAATAAGAATAAAAATGGTTGGGAATGTAATAATAAAGAGTCGAATGTTCCGCATTCTACTTACTTTTTCCACCACTGATCAATCAAAAAGGAAGAATAGATTAATATTGAATTGTCAGGATGAATCAAACTTCGGAATCAATTGTGCGGAATTAATAATACCTTTGGATAATTGTGGTATGCCCAAAATTGACTTAAAAAGCTAGCAATGAACCCTGTTATTATAAAATTAGTGTACGTTCCAGGAAGAATTCCAAGGCCATTGCAGATCAAGGGAACAGTGACCAAGTTAAAATTTGCTTTTGGATATTTCTTGTGTAAAAGGTAACACGGTATCGGCGCAACAAATCCTATGAGGAATCCCCACAGCAAGGGATTATATATCGACTCCTAATAAGAGCAATGATTAGAATTCGATCATATCTTTAAGACGTACGTGAATTAATGATACTCACAGATCCAAATGTCTTCGCAGGTCCTATCAACCCCCACACTATTGAAGCCGTGTTAAAAACTTGTGATCGATAACCGGTCCATTGACCTGTTGGATCTTTCATGGTACCGTCTAAAAAGGGACGCTTTGCATATATTATCAATTGCAGAAGCCAATAATTAATGAATGCACCGACGAATGTACCCCACAATTGTGCTGTAAACATTGCTCTGGGAGGAATTTTCATGTAATGTCCTATGAAATCAAGCGAACAGTTATATATAATAATAATAAACATAATAATAATAATAATAATAATAATAATAATAATAATAATAAAGTTACCCAGTTTCAAATCGCAAACAAATGAAAGGCATTGGTGCATTGCCATGTAACCATAACATTTAAAATAAACATTTGCTATTGGACGACCAGGAAATACATAACTAGTTGGAATAATAAATCAACTTCAATTAATATTTCAAGGTCATCAAAATTATCAAGCTTTCATCATAAAGATTATATTACCCGCAAATCATCTCTGTTATGACATTGAGTCCAACTTGATTATTAGAGACTGCCTGAATAACGCCTGTATTTAATTCAAGACTCGAGCGATCAGTCAGAGGGTAATGTTGCGAGACGACGAAAATGAGAATGACCAACATCTTTTACCTATAGGTAATACCATGATCATCGCAAGACCAACAGCAATTAATAATCCCCACCAAGGTAAATGTGATCCAGATAAATAACAAAGAATCATGGCTATTATCAACATGGTCACAAATATGCATGCATACCACGAGTTGGGAATCTCTAAAGTGCGAGCAAAAAGGGTGTCAGTATTCATGATAAGTGCGTTGCATCGTCTAAATTTTTTAATCTACCCAACTTTTTTTTACAACCTTCGTAGTTTTTCATCATTTTACAATGAATATCTTCAACTTCCTCTGATCGACTTGCCCTAAATCTCTTCCAAATTTCATCCCCATAGAAGAGGATAACATGAGAAATCGCCGCCGTGAAAGATATGAAGGAGTAAAAATATCCAACAGCAAACGTCACACTTAGATAGACGGGTCCATATTCTTGATATGCTGTCTCATTTAACATTCCGGTCCTTGCATCTATAATAGAAGTTTGATTGTATCTAAAGAAGAAGCGTGTCGATCGATTAATTATGAAATTTTGAAACAAGAAAAATTCCAACACTTTTGCAACGTTAAACGGTTCAGTCGAGACCACGTACCGCTCGCCATGTTTATCCAACGAATATGTGGCCAAGAAAGGAAATTTTTTGGCCATCCTGATTGTCATGTGGAAATGTAAATATGGTATAAATGTGATGTGATAAATTCCATCCGATAATTGCTTACCAAAAATCATTGTAATACAAAATTGGAGCAATTATCCAGGTGCCGATGATTACTCCAGCGAACCAATTAATCTGTGCCCACCTTCATTAAAGTAGTTAGTACAAAATCTCTTAGAAAACCTTCAGAAACGACGATCATTACCATGGAGTATAAAGTGGACCTGGTTGCCCTATGGCATTCCAGTCCAACGAGAAATTCAATATTCCCAAACCGCGATATCCGCTGCCCAATCGTATGATATCTTTGTCAAATGGCTTGATCAAGCATAATAGTGACATACTAGTCAGCCATGGGAATATGAATTGTGGAAAGAATTGCCATATGAACATTGATATAAAGGCGATGGTGAAAAACTTGAGTTTATCGGCTGTGTCGGAAACGCTTCCATGAAGGGTCGAGAAAAGACTGGAAAACACCAAGTTCGATGGCCACTTTTGAAAATTATATTTTGGAAAGTTAAAAAGAATACTCTAATTGTTAATAAGCGATAATAGCTGAAAGCTAAGATAAATCATATTTTCGTACCAACATGTTGGCCGGACGAACAAGATCTATAATGGCAAAAGAGTATTTTCATTTAATTTAATATTGATCACAAAAGCTCAGTAAACGTCACAGTTTTTATGAAATGCGAAAGGAATGAGGAAAAAAGCTTGCTCATTCAAAAGGCTCACATTTTCTCAAAAATCCAGCTAATCCATAGCCTATCATCTGGGTACTCATAAGAAGCATCATGCCAATAAAGAAACCCGCATGCTGATTGTAAAACAGTTCCTGTATGGCGATAATATCCTAAATTTATTTATGTTTAGCAGCAGAAATAAAATAGAAGGAGAATTAAGGCGATAAGTTCCGCGATCAGGATTTCATGCAAAAATTAATACTAACCGTGCCGTACGCTGAACCACCGCCCGCACCTGCCGCTACGGCAATAAGCACGTGTTCCTTAATATTGAATGGTCCTATACAGAAATAATAAGCTTTTCTCTCATAATAAAAAGGTGAAAACGAGACACGCTTCACATTCAACTCATAATCATACCCGGATTCAAAGTAAACCTCCACTTGTAAAACCTTATTTCATGCTTGGGAAGTAGTTGAGCCATCCATATTCCGAGAACGTAAGAAACCAATAATACAAAGAATATAGAATAGCCACCGCCGTTAGATCGAAAGTAGTAAAATTCCGATACCGCAGCTCCGAGAGACGTAAATATCTTTTGAAATGAGTAATTTAGTTTGATCCGATCAATGAATAAACGTTTTGCGACGACTCTTTGCTTACTGTACTTAGAACCCAAAATCGAAATGTGATACAAGGTAGAGATGGATCGTCTTTAACGCTGACTGCCTATGAATGGAGAAATCGCTGAATTACGAATTCGTGAACTCGACCTGGAAAATTATACTCCTATGTCTAACTGATTTCGAACAATTACCGCGGAGACCATGGGTATTGGGGAATCTTCATCCTCTGAAAGTTTACGTCCGGCCAAGAGAAATTCCTCGTCACTAATTTCTCTATCGCCTATGCTTGATCGATTCCTTAAACCATAAGCTGACCCGTTTTCATCCTCAGTTTTATTTCTTATCTCTGGTAATTCAAAATTTTCTTCATCGACAAGTCGAGAATATTTATTAGACATTTTGCACGATATTTTATTAAAAAACTTTTTCAGTTGATCTTCGGATTTACATGTTGCTATAAATAATACGTATATTTATGTCACACGAATTGTATATAAATTTCCTGACTGTGGATTTTCCGCGGTTCTATCATAAAAATGCCAAGACCAGTGAGACAAGAAGACTTGGACTTTGCTTCATGCGAAAACGATCGCTATGAAAGCGAAATCGTGAAATGGAAAAATCAACAGAAGCTGGTAAGGCCTATGGTTTTTATGTTAGTTGTGCATTTTCCCATTTCACAAATGTTTGTTTCTATTTCCGATTGCCAGGAAGCCTTAGAGCAAGACGCGATCGAAGTTCAGAAAATCCTTTCCAACATCAAAAAGGCAGCGGTCAAAAAGTTTGAAGAAGCCGAGAAAAAGCGTGCTGAAGAACTTCAAAAATGGCGACAGTTGTACGAACGGATAGAAATGGACTAGTTAATGTCGAAGCTTCTAAGTGTTCTGTCTTCTATTTGTTATTTGTTCGGTGGAAATAATTTATTGAATATTTTATAGCGAGAAAGAGCGAATTCAAAGGCAACGTGAGTTCGAGTCTCAACAAGCAAAATGGAAACAAATGACCGAGGTACATATCACATTTAACACTTTAGTGAAATACAATTTATGAATTTTTTTCTTTTATGTTAATGTTATAGGATTATGAACTGATGGTTAAGAAAAAAGTGGAGGCGGAACAAGAACGCGTCAGAAAAGATGAGGAGGCAAAAAAACAAGATGCAATTAATAAGCAAAAGGCACTAGAGTTAGAAAAACAGATAAAAGAAAAGGAGGCAAAGGAAAAGGAAAGGGAGGCAAAAAAATTAGCCGAAGCCAAGAAAGCCCAGGAGGCAGCTCATGCAGCTACAGAAGCCAAGAAAAAAACGCAAGCGGTAGCAAATATTCTGGGATCAGAAGAAGCGTTGAAAGAGGAAGAGCGTCATCGTAATATGCTCAAACAAATCCAAGAAAAACTCTCGAAGAACTCCCTATTCAAAACTTTAACGGTTGAAGAGAGGAAAAAGATCAAATTAAAATTAAATATTTTGACAAATTCTCGAACCGAAATACTCAAGATAGTAAGATATTAAATTTGAGGTTGTTTTTTTTTATTAAAATTTCACGTGACTTATTAATTATTGAAGAGCGGCGAGATAAACACTTTGCTGAGATCAAACAATACGCAAGTCTATTATTTCCTTTTGAATTTCTTGGCTAAAGAACTTATTGTGAGTATACTATTGTAGCGAGGTACACCACATCTTAAATCTAATCTTTGATTTATTTTTGTATTTTTTTTTGGGGGGGTTACAAATTGACTAGAAACACGCCGAGGTTGATGTTTTGTCCAATGAAGCATCGGCCTTTCACTTTGCTCATTTGAGTGTTCTTATTGCTGCATCGCATACGGAGTTTATGAATTTTTTAATGGCCCGTTTTGTGAAGAAATGTCCATATGTATTACCGCGTTACTTTGATACACCAAAGGTAGTTTGAATTCATAATTCACTTGATTAACATAATTCCAATATAATTATTTCTCACTTATGCTTTCTATTCACAGGATAAAATATCAGATGATTTTAGGAAACTCGTCGGTTACAAGGATAATGAAGGAGCAGATGTATATATCAAAAGAATGTGCTCTATTTTGGCACTATATTGTGCCATTATGCAGACCGAACCGATATATCCTAGTATGTATTGAAGACGCGTGCCATAATTATGTTTTATTTACTAACGCTGCGATTTTAGATATTAAAAATCCATACTCGATCGATCACGCGTGGACCTATCTTGCCCGGCTAATGAATCTAAGACCTCAAAAAATCACGCCATTCCTTCTATGCACATGCATCCATGTATTTATGCTTCTCGATGGTTTTGATTAAAATTAATTTTTCTTTTTTATCATTAATTTATTCTTTCCTTATTTATAGATCACCGGAGCGGAATTAGTGCGTGTATATCAAAGCGATGCTTTACGACTGCTATCTGTCGTTCATAAAGCATATGTGCTACAACCGCCTCCGGAAGTTCGGGCACTTTTGACCACTTCACCTTCAGCAATGTCTCGGCTTAAAACCATGTTGGAAGAAGCAATAAAAAATGGTGGTAAAATTCCATATTCTGAAGGAAGAAATCCACTTTGATAATTAGTTCGTATCCTAAACCGCCCGGTTGCGCAAAACCAGATTAATTTTGATAAACCTGATATGTAATATACAACGATACCAGTAAGTGAAACATTTGTTTTTCGAGATTTCGTCGTTATATTTATTGATAAGTTCAACATATGGTGTTTTTAATTGAATTAGGTTAATAGTTACGACAATCTACCTTCTCAGATAGACTTAAATTTGTTAACTAAATATATTAAGAAAATATAGAAAACATAATATTTAGAAGGTCAAAAAGTTTAGTTGCTTTTTGCTACAAATATATTTTATAAAAGCATAGGATATTTCCCGTTTTTACAAAGCGAGAGGTGCGCCGTTGCTTGTGTGGAATAACAGGAGTGATGTGTTTGTAAACTTCTCGGGTGTGTTAATTTTCATAATTACAATAGAAATTACGCGAATTTCTGATTATCAGACTCACGAGAAAACGTGACTTTTGAGGAATGGTATTTTTTAATTATAGTTTTCATTTTTAGTTAAGTGCTAATTTTATAACAATTGCTTCGGTATCCCTATTCATAATTAACAATTATTATTAATTTAATGATTATTCCTATTGTAATTAGTTATGTATTTGATTTTTAAAAAACTATACTACATAAGGAAATACTCATATACTGTATGTATTATAAAGTTGGGTGTGCATTTAGCGAGGATATAATAAATTTTTAAATTTTAATTCCTATTTACTGTATATCAATTTCTTTTTTAATAAAATTTCAAGATTATTTTGCTAAGACTAAAATAGTTAAAAAATTTTTAATATAATCTTAGCACCAATAATCTATGTTTCAATATCATAATCCTCAATCATGCCATTATGGCATGTCTTTATTGAGATATCAAATAAATATCTATAATATTACATGAACTTTTACACGATGATTAACACATCTTTGTATGAAGGATTATACTAATTAAAAAATATAAAAAGTTCACTAAGCTAGTTTAAACCAAACAAAATAAAGTTTTAACTAGATATTCTAAGTCAATTTTAACAAACAATTTTTTATTTTTTTGATAAATTGATACTAGAATTTTATTTATTAGGATTATTATCAATAGTTTGTTACTATTGATTATTCTAAAAAAAACAATAAATTTTTCTATTAATTATTGAAACTATATACTATTTAAAAAACTTATTATCTTGAATTTTTAAAAATAAAGGTTTTATTATATATTTTTTACTTGTGAAATTTGCATATATAATCTTATTAAAATAGTAATACTAGTAGTATTCAACTTTATCTAATTAAAATAAAGATATAAAAACTTCAACTTTTTTTTTTAAAAAAGTTTTTTATTACTTAAAACTTATTAAAAAAATTTTTAAGAGAAATAAAATAGCAAATAAAAAAAAATAAGTTTTTTTACTATAAAATATTTTATAAATAATTTATTTTAAAGATAAAAGACCTTTAAATATCCTATAACTAGTTTTTGTTCTTTAAGAATTTTTTTACTATTAATAGTAAAAATTTAAAAAAATTTTAAATAAATATTTTTTTTATATATGATTCATTAGTTAAAATTAATGTTATTCAGTAATTAAATTATTGTCAAATTTGATAAAATGTAATAATAAAAATATTGATAAAATATTTTTTATTGTTGCTTATTTAATATTAACAAAATATTTGATAAAAAATTTATGATATATTATGGAAAATAAATTCAACACAAAATTTAATAATATTTTGGAAAAAATTTAGTATATAGTACAAAAAATTTATATATAATAACAAAAAATTTTTTTACATATTGATAAAAAAAATTTTTTTGCATATATATAAAAAAATTTGACAAAAAAATTTGTATACTGCAATAAAAAATTT